GAATCCTACTTCATCTTGTTTTTTTTAATTTTTTATGTTCTTGTTTGTGTTGATTTTTTAAATAATATTTATAGTATTTCTTTAGTTGCAATTGTGATACTTGTTGATTTTACACAAACAATAATTTTCTTTATTATTATTATTATCATTGTTATAACATTTATGAGAGACAGCATTGAATAGACATGCTGAAGGAATATCAACTATACTGATGACAAGTGAAACTAATACTAGTCTTAACACAAGTCCTTGTTCAAGAATCTATGAGCTAAGAGTGTCCATCTTCCCTGCTATGCCTGTTCTTCCAGGCTGTTGTCAAGTTCATAATTATTATTGCATATCATAAGTCATAACATTAATTGTTTGTTTTTTTAAATAAAATAAAATAACACACTTGATAAAACAGTAACATGTAAAATCAATACCTTCTTTTAGCTGGAAACCTCCACTAAAGTATTGCAGTAAGTTGATTCCAAGCATAGCTTGGTAAAAAATAAATTGCTTCTTCCAGAGCTGCAGATCTGCATCCATAGATAATAGAGTAAATGTCATTTAATATCTATGCTGCATCTGAGCATGCGCGACCACACCCAAATTTTGGAGCACATGGCAAGCTTCTTTAATTAACAAAATGGCGGCATGTAGCTAAGATGGCTCGATCCAGCAGTCACAGTATCACTTTTTCCTTACTTGAAGAATGATATGATGGGACATGGACCTGCGCATAGACTGTTGGAGTAGATTGGTGTAAGAATTATCCTTGTAGCACCAACTGATACTGAGATACACACCGACAACTGGATTGACAGGACTTGATGATGAAGATGATGAAGATGAAAAAAGGTGGCTGAACAAAACGGCCGGTTCGCCGATTTTTGACTTTTCGCTTAGACGAGGTCTAGAGCCACGCTAGTTGTACCATTGGAGTCCTCTGGTCAAGATAAGGTCCTCTATAAAGTCTGGTAAGCATAGGAGCTCGTTTTCCCGGTATAGCAAGGCTGCAAAAGTCGTGGCAGCCATTTTGTTTGGGGGTGAATCCTACTTAGTAACGCTACCGCGTTACTAATTGTTAATATTTTATTCTTATACTCTAGGATGGTATGACTGGTCTGATGCATGCTGCTTTTGGTGGCAATGTCGAATTATGTAAATTATTAATAGAGAAAGGAGCTGATGTTAATAGCAACCTACACTCACAAGGAGTAAGGGATGATACTGTAAAGTGTATTATGTATATACTGTGTAGTTTTAGCTAGTAATTTAGATGGGGATTTGGATGACTTTAATAGCAATTTACATGTATCAAAATTTAAATAATTATTATAATGTTTTTTACGTGCACTTGTTCAGCGATTCTTCAATGATTTGTCATTCAATCACTAAAACTCAGTAGTTCTTTAAAGTTTTAATCTAGTATCTACTGCTCTCTCTCTCTCTCTCTCTCTCTCTCTCATTCTACCTCTTTCTCCCTCACAGTACACTGCTCTCATGTTCGCTACAATATCAGGTAGTGCCCCAGTAGTTCAGTTACTGCTAGAGAAAGGAGCTAGTGTCACTGCTACTAACAATGTCAATAGAACTGCTGCTCAGATGGGAGGATTCGTAGGTTAAATTATAAATAATTATTTATATAATTGAATT